TATACATTATAACCATAAAATCAATAAAATCAATAAAACCAAATACAAACCCAGTTTCTCCTCTTACATGGTCAGCGTTCGCTACTCATAGATCTAGTTTTACGTTCCACTTCATCAATCCTGCTGGTCTTACTCGCCTGGTTGTCTGATTTAATTGCCGGAGTGCCCAAAGGCCTGGTCCCATAACCAAGTCTTCACCCTTCTCCTAAAGGCGAGGAGGGATGATGATGCCCTGATTTCCCCCGGGAGTTCCACAGGTGAGGGGCCACCACTGAGAAAGCCCTGCTCCTCGTCCCCACCAGCCTCACTTGTGACAGTGGTGGGGTCGATAGCAGGGCCTCCCCAGATGATCTCAGACTCCGAGGTGGGACGTAGAGGGAGATACGTTCGGACAGATACACTGGACCGGAACCGTACAGGGTTTTGTAGGTCAAAACCAGCACCTTGAATTGTGCTCGGAACTGAATCGGCAGCCAGTGGAGCTGGCACAGCAGGGGGGTGGTATGCTCCCTGTATGTCGCTCCGGTGAGCAATCTGGCTGCCGCTCGCTGGACTAGTTGAAGTTTCCGAACAGTCTTCAAGGGCAACCCCACGTAGAGCGCATTGCAGAGATGGAGGCATGGTATCAAAATAAAGTTGTTGTTGTTGTTGTTGTTGTTGTTGTTGTTGTTGTTGTTATTATTATTATTATTATTATTATTATTATTATTATTATTATGTTCTTCCTATGGTAAATTCAGTGTTGCATAAGGTAGTCTGATCCAAATCTTCTTGTGCCTTGCATTTATGAACATGTGTCTGTTCCGCTCTTGATCACACACGCATGATTTCATTCATTAGGGATGTCAGTTTACTATTTATGTCACAAGAAAATTTGGCACTAATGGGATTAGCTTGAACCCTCACCCCCCAAGATTTACCCTCTTATTTCTTAAATATTTCAAACTGGTTATGCAATTGGATTTAAAACAATTCCTGGGAGAGAAGGGGATCAGAGATGGGACAAAGCATTTGTCCCATTTAGATTAACTTCAAATATTTACAAGGGGAAACAATGTTCCAGTTACCTCTGAGTCTTTCAATCACTAAATTTTAAAGTAACTAGAATGCATTGGAGCATTGTGTGGTTTCCCGGCTGTATGGCTGTGTTCTAGCAGCATTTTCTCCTATTTCACTTGCATCTGTGGCTGGCATCTTCTGAGGCATTTTGAAGAATGCATTACCCACAGGTAATGTTGCCACTCATCAAGTTACTTTTGAAATTGCTTTGTTCCACACTTTGGTATACAATGCAAGATAAACCAAGTCACCAGTCCCAGCTGCAAAGATGCCAACCACACAAAAGTAAAAAAATAAATAAAAATAAACAGGAAATAGAGGGAGAAAACATGGAGGCAGTGAGGTGCAAAGATTACTGCAGATGCAGACTGCAGCCAGCAAATCGGAAGACGTTTCCTTCTTGGGAGGAGAGCAGTGACCAATCTCAATAAAATCGTGAAGAGTATAGACATTACACCGGCAACAAAGATCCACATATTTAAAGCAATGGTATCCCCCATAGTAAGCTATGGATGTGAGAGATGAACCATAAGGAAGGCTGAGCAAAAGAAGATAGACATTTTTGTACTGTGGTGCTGGAGGAAAATTCTGAGAGTGCCTTGGACTGCAAGAAAATCAAACCAGTCCATACTCCAAAAAATAATACCTGACGGCTCACTGAAGGGAAGGATATTAGAGGAAAGATGAAGTACTTTGGTCACATAATGAGAAGACAGGAAAACCTGGAGAAGATAGTGATGCTGGGGAAAATTGAAAGAAAAAGAAAGAAATCCTCCAGATCATGTTATTGCAAAATTCTTACTTACTTAGGCGATCACTCGTTGTCCAAGTAAGATTGTCCTCCAAGTACGGTGCCTGGTGATGGGTACGTAGATGCCTGTGGAACCCCATTCTTGACCCGCATGTTCTCCTGCAGCGAGGGCATCGGTTTCCATTCATTTTTTCTTTTTTGGCCACAGGATGGTGACCCCACTGGAGGCAGCAGTCCAGTCAAGGGTAAGAGAGGCAGACTATGTTTAGGCCGCCTTTTCCAGCCCCTTCCCTGTGTGGGGTGAGCAGAGTGGATCCTAAAAAGGGCTGCTCAGTCGTGCAGAACTACTCAACTGCCTCGGACCTTGCGTTAGAACGATTGAGTCCATATCCATCACCCATGTGCCAATCTGTGACTAGGGGCTTCCAGATTTCACAGTCCTGCCCCTGTTGCCACTCGCTGATTGCCATGGGACTTTTTGTTGATTTATTTTTATTTTTCTTGAAAGACGCCTGTGCGTGAGTTTTTTTAATGTGTGGAGGTCGGTGCACAGCTGGTTAACACACAGTCTTCACAGAGTGGGGTCCCATCCTGTGGCATGGTTAACACAACGACAGTGGCTTCTCAATCTGTTGCAGCCTTCTTCCGCCTTCACAGCCATTGCAACATGGATCATGTTATCCGCCACCAGCTCTGCGGTTGAGGTCTTTGGGTCTTCAGATTGTGCTTGTTCTGGAGCCTCCCCTGCGGCCACTTCTGGGAGTGCACGACTCGTCGTTGCACTTACAGGTTCATTGGAACACGCAAGTCCCCTCACCGCAGTAAGGTGACAATCCACCGAGGGATTGCAAAATATAAATGTGACGATTGGAGGAGATAGTTGACCAAGGGAAAGATGGATGGCTACTATCCTTGAAGTGATTGGCTTGACCTTGAAGGAGCTGGGGGTGGTGACAGTGAATAGGGAGTTCTGGCGAGGTCACAAAGAGCCGGACGCGACTGAATGAATAAACATCAAACAGGAAGAATCTTATATACCTGATATTTCTTAGGAATGTTTCAAAATGGCACACAGAAGAGCTGTGTCCTACTTGACAAGTACTGATGGCCACTCCAGCTAATTTTTCAACTTTATTTGAAAATCACTCCGTGCAGCAGGATCTTGTCTGTCTGCTTCCACATGAGAGAAAGGATATTATGTGCAAAGGGAGTGGTCTCAAGTGGCTGATTTAATGCTATTTCTGAAATTTGAACTTAGCAGAAACAAGAGAAAGGAATCGTCACATTTATATTTTGCAATAACACGATTTGGAGGTGTCTTTTAAAATATAGTACCAAGCTCCCAATTAATTACCATTATGGTTGCAATTTTTAAAAGAAACTCCCTACTTTCTTCCCTGTTTCTCAAAAGTCTCTCTTTCTCAAAATATTTTGAGGTTGATCTGAATGGGATGTGTCACAAGAGGGAGCTCTTGCTATCTGAAGAAATGTGAGGTTGGAAAAACAAAAGATTTTCTGTTTATATCAGGTTCAGTGGACAGGTATGAAAATAAATTGCGTGCCAAGTTTGTCACTCAGTCAGGAGATCTGATAAGCTACTGTTATTGGCTAAGAAGTACATTAACCAGATCACTCCAGAAGGTCAAAGTGGTACAGAAGCACTGAAGTTTTACTGCTTCGTCAGGCAGAGAATAGGCTTTTCAAGTACAGCATGGAAAATTTTGCCCAACTGACCTTTGAGGAGTGTTTCAGACACAATGAGACAGCCACATGACTCGGGCATTTTGTTTTTGAAAGTCTTAGAAATGCAGTTCTTAAATGCCATTGACATCAAATGCTCTACAATGTGTTGTTTTTATAAAAGCTAATTTAATACACAGAGGTGATTAGGCAAGATCATGAGATACAGGCCGTGGTTTTATGGGAAACTATGGCCCAAGCCTCCTCCTAGAATGGCATCTAATAAATAATAATAATTACCCAATAATAAATAATAATTACCTGCTTATCTGGCCTTACTCATATCCCAGCAGTGCTTTTGATTTAAAGCTGCAAGCATTTTCCAAAACCACCCCTTAGCTCTGCTCCTAGCCAACCAGGTAAACATTTTAGGCCATTCCACCACCTGCCTTAATTTGCAGGGCAGTAGCTTTCTGAATCCCATTGGCAAAAAAAGCCAATGGGATTTTGGCCTGCATCAATAGGAGCATAGTGTCTAGATCTAGGGAAGTCATGCTCCCCCTCTATTCTGCTTTGGTTAGACCACACCTGGAATATTGTGTCCAATTCTGGGCACCACAATTCAAGAGAGATATTGACAAGCTGGAATGTGTCCAGAGGAGAGCGACTAAAATGATAAAAGGTCTGGAGTACAAGCCCTATGAGGAGCGGCTTAAGGAGCTGGGCATGTTTAGCCTGAAGAAGAGAAGGCTGAGAGGGGATATGATAGCCATGTATAAATATGTGAGAGGAAGCCACAGAGAGGAGGGAGCAAGCTTGTTTTCTGCTTCCCTGGAGACTAGGACGCGGAACAATGGCTTCAAACTACAAGAGAGGAGATTCCATCTGAACATGAGGAAGAACTTCCTGACTGTGAGAGCCGTTCAGCAGTGGAACTCTCTGCCCCGGAGTGTGGTGGAGGCTCCTTCTTTGGAAGCTTTTAAACAGAGGCTGGATGGCCATCTGTCAAGGGTGATTGAATGCAATATTCCTGCTTCTTGGCAGGGGGTTGGACTGGATGGCCCATGAGGTCTCTTCCAACTCTTTGATTCTATGAATTTGAGATAGCAATACACTCCATGGGAGCCTTCCCTCAATGCTCTATCAGGGAGATCACAATATATTGTGAACATAATCCCTTTTCTCTGCTTCCTACACAGGGGCAACACAGCACTGGGAAGTCTTCTGCCTCTGGATGAAGTATGACATCAGATGTGAAAATCATATGCTGTCTTGTGGACGAGGCATACAAGTAACGCACTATGAACTATTTCCATTTGTATACAGAAATAGCACATCTCATGGAGTAACTCTACAGAAGGTGAAGTTGTCAACTTTGGCCATCAGCCCCTTTATGAACGCTGGTCACAATGTAGTGTCAAGACGAACAATCAGGGAAGATTCTGACAGTTCCGTCAAATGACTTTTTGTAATCATTGCAGAGTACCATCACAAGTTAAAAAACAATACAGCTATTTGAAAGCTTTATTTTTTTAAAAAAAACACAGTTGAAAAATGTATTGAGTCTGAAAATTGAAAGATACCATCCAGAAGAGTGCAGAGCCCCCCTCCCCCTTTTGTAACACAAACTCTGACCACTTTGGTTCAGATACTTACAAGAATTGGCAAGATTGAACTTATAACATGTTTTGGCTGTCTTTTCAAAACAGATTTACAAATAAACCTTTACAAGTAAAATACTCATTTATATGATTACATATTTACATTTTACCATTGTCCTCTTTAGTTGCACCTAGCATTAAAGGTGTGTAAAAATTGTTCTTTGCTGCCTCTGTAATGGTTACTTCCAACTACATTTAATGAGTTCAGCGGCTTTTTTCTTGCACATAGACATTCACTTGGGCATACTCCATGTGTAATATAATTTAAAATAGAGTAATTACTAGAGAAAGGATATTAATACATCTTTTAAGAACAATTAAATGTGACAAGACAGGCTTTAAGGCTGCAACATTTGGTTTATTATTGAGCAATGCCAGATTTCAATGGCATTCCTTCAAAGCAAGTTATCAGTATGTTCCTAATTGCCATCTTCCTGACCATTCCTTCGCTCAAGAACAAATCAAACCTATTTGTCTAGAGCACCTAAGCATTTTCCAAACAGATTTAACACCAAGGAAGGTAAGCTCACCTAAGAACATCTGGAGTATAATTCCCAAACTTTCAAGTATAAATGAGATTGTTAATTTTCCTAGCCAATGAAGGGGCTTGGATATATATACCATTGTTCACCTGTGCAAGCCTGCATTGTCTTCAAAAGCATATCCCACAAGAGTCTAGAACAATTTATTTACCTTTCAACCACTGCTTAGAAGAGCTTCAATGGGATGCAGAGGGAGGTGTTTCCCCCACTTTTTTTCTGTCACCTTGACTCAGAGGCAAGTGAAGGTAGCAAGTGAAGGATTTTAGTTTTGGGAGATACTGTACCACGAAGATGAACAAATAGAAAATAAATTTGCCTCCAGGTCTGGTTCTAACCCAATTTTTTTGGGGGGGGGGGGGATTACTAAGCACTTATCAATTTTGTTTCTGTTTTCCAACAGCTTTTATAAGTTTGGAAAACTTGGCTAATGTTCCTAGTTTTAAAACAGCAATACCCAAAGTGTGTCTCAGGGAAGGGGCGTTTCAAACTATGGGCAACATCTAGCAGTAGTGGAGTCATTTTTTGCAACAGTGGAACGAAGTATAGAGACATGAAAGCTGTGATGGGATTTTAAGGAGCCCAGTCCTCCTTCAGTATTGGGATTAGCGCCTTGAGCCATAGAATCTTGTCTCCACAACAGTAGGCTATATCCATACCATTATTTAACTTCATCTTAAAGTCTTAAACATGAGTCACTGGCTAAACTAGAAGACACAGGAGACTGGAAATGGAAGAGGATCTAACTGCCCAATGGAGAAAGTTAGCACATAAGAGTGTGCTTGGTAAGCTGAATCATTTGTGTTTAGTGTAAAATATAAATTAGCATTGCTCATTAATTTATTGCTGATTTTTTGCTTCCATTCAGGACTGAAATAAATTTAAAATTATGACTCTTTTAGGATTCAGTTCTTCAATGAAGATATTAAAGAGACTACAAGGCTCAGATTTTTCTCAACTGCACATTGCCCTTAAAATTTTGAGACCCAATCCTTGTTGTTCATTAGGGCAACTGCAGTCTATGCTATCTAAATGACTATTGTGCTCACCATGAAATATTTATGAAACATCAGATACTTAATGTAGTAACAGAAGCATTCTTCCTTACAAGGCAATCACAGATTGCAAGTTCTGTAGAGTTGCAAAGACCAACCCTAACCCCCAAAACACAAAGAGTTCTTCAGAAATACACTGTAAAACAGGATCATTTATAAGAAGCATTGAGTAACACTGTTGGCTTGCTCTGTTTTTCTCATGGCAAAGCTCGTTTGGATTCTGAAACCAGTAAGATTCTCATAAAGCTCAACAGGTGTCACACAGGAATGACTCCTCCGTTTAACTGATGTAGTATTCTCAAGGACAGGCTTCCCAGTAAAATACTTAAGGATGCACATAACAGATGTATTGGCATACATTACTGGACAGTAATTGGTTTTGGCTAGGTGTATTCAATAGCAGGACCATAAATTACTAAATGATCATTCAACCACAGATCAACAGGTGACAGGCTTATTGCTTCTGTCAACAAGATAATTTAACTCTTCCCAACCCACAAATACTCCTGTACTGAAAAAAAAATCTGCTCAAATCAAAGTAGAACTTCAGATCAGTACTCCTCAGAAATGAGCAGGATTTGCTCCCCTTGATTTCACTTGAGCCTTCCAAATGGATCGTGCCCATGGTCAGTTATTTCTCAACACAACTTCAAAAAGATTGCATTTTTCCCTGGTCACCTTTCGTTTAACAGCAACCCTTTCTTAAAGGATATTTGAATAATCAGTATTCCTATTAAACCCATTCACATACCCTACCCCTCAGCACCAATCAACTTTCTTTGGGCACTTGTACAAAGCTTTAGTTTCAAGGCTTTGAAATATGGCAGCTTTTTCAGCATCTTCAACTGAAACCCAACGTGCAAGAGAACTGCCATGAAGCACAGGCTCGTCGTGTCCCAAGTCTGTACTGGACTCTTCCACAGAACAGCCAAGCCCAGAGACTTCTCCTAAATATATTGAGGTAAGCTCTTGGCCACTCTTATGCTGAATGATCTTTTTCACCAGTCATTTGTGCAGGGAGCTCACTCAGGCTATTCAAGAAGAAGAAATCCTAGTTTGGAATCAACAATAGATCTTAGTTCTATCTTCCTGCAAGTACTTCAGGCCATTCAAGCCGCCTTTAGTCACTGTGAGGCTTCTCAGAAACACCCTGTGATCAAAACAAGAAATGTTACTGTAATTTCTAAAAATAAAAGCAATATTTGGCTTGTACTGAAATCTGATTATGTTCTTTGAAATTAATGGAGAATCATGAGCTGGATTTTGTACAGACCAAGTAATGTGCCATTAAAGCGTTCCAATAAACAATCTAGTCAGCTAGGGGAACAACACTTAAAACAGTATCTCTATGTAAAACAGATCTCTAGTGATAGGGAAAGAGGACAATTCTTATCCACCTACTTTTTTTTTTTTAAAGGGAGGGAAGTGGTTCAGAAGAGCAACACACAGGTTTTCAATAAGAGTACCATGGTCCAAAACATTGCTTTCAGGTTCTAGGCACTTCCCAAAGACTACGTTGCTTAATTTCCTCCAGGGTCTTCCTCTGGGGGCAAAATCAAGAATGGGCAACTTGAAAGTCCCTGAACAGACTCAGAAGTGGAGTGGGCAGATCAAAAGACAACCTGGCAAAATGACACTACCTAGAAGAATCCTCCACCTTGTGTGACAGCAGAACAAACAACAATGCATCTGTATGCTTGTCCACAATGCCATGCCTCATGCACAGAGGAAGAATTGTTTGAGGCTACAGAGAATGTGGTTGCTGTTGCCTGTTTTTGGTAAAAATATATTTAGCCGCCTATTTTTATCAGTTTATACTAATTTATGCAATGCTTTTGATACAAAATAAATAAATAGCTTAACTCTCAATTTCTATCAAATGTGAAACTGTCAAGCACTCTCCACACTGAAAGTACAGGTGTATAGCTAATTATATCTTAATTAGCATGTAAAAAACTAGAGTTGTAGGCTATCTACTATTAAGCTATTTCATTCTGGCTATGCTGCACGAAGTTTCATCCATCCTTCACACAGATAACCACTTTCTGCAATGGCCATGGTCATTCACAGCTCTATTCTGAAATCTAACATAGGCAAAGTTCATTCCAATACATTCATTTTCTCAAACATGTCAGGGAAGCATTTTGGTCCTTCATTAACTTGTGGCCACACTTCTTGCAATCACCTTCTAATGGGGCATAAAGGACTTTCAGCACCTATTAAACATGCATGATACTTACCATAGCCAGTTGTCGTCCTATGTTTCCCACAGTCACACCTCCTGAAAAAAATATACATGGCAGCCAGGATCTGATGTAAAGAAAATCAGGAGATGTATACCTAAAAAAAGTTTTAAAAGACCAAGTTAGAGCCTGTAGTTGTTGGCAACAAGACCTGTCCATTTCAGTCATCAACATTTGATTACACTGGACATGTTCATAACAGTATTATGAACACATATATTGACATATCACCTTTTGTCAGCAACACTAAGTATCTGACTGAAGAACATATTCTATCTTTTTTACTTACTATTTATTTCCACCACCGCCATTCTGTGCTAGGTTAGGGCTTACTCTTTAGTTAGTGCTATTAAACATCTTTTGAGGATGTCTACACATTCAGCCTTGTAAACTGCATGCAAAACATCCTTAAAAAAAGTTACTTGCACGAAATTATATAAACAGAATAACAAACATTGGAAGCTGGCAGAGAAGGAAAAGCTCTTCACCTTCTAGAAGACCATTGAATTTCTACTGAGAAGGAGGCTTTATAATTTAACATAGACAAAGTATAATCCTTAAATAAAATAAATTTATGGGAAGAATACATTATAAATTAAAATAAATTACATTACATTAAAATTAAATTACAGTATATTCTGGCGTATAAGACTACTTTTTAACCCAAGAAAATCTTCTCAAAAGTCAGGGGTCGTCTTATACACGGGTGTAGTCTTATGCATGGGAGTCGTCTTAACTCTATATTTTAACTGGAAAAGTTGGGGGTTGTCTTATACGCCCAGTCGCCTTATATGCCGGAATATACGGTAAATGTATGGGAAGAGGCCCCAGTAGCACAGTGGGTTAAACCGCTGAGCTGCTGAACTTGCTGACCAAAAAGTTGGCAGTTTGAATCTAGGGAACAGGGTGAGCTCCCGTTGTTAGTCCCAGCTCCTGCTAGCCTAGCAGTTCAAAAACATGCAAATGTGATTAGGTCAAAAAGTATTGCTACATGACCTTGGAGGAATCTATGGACAACGCCAGCTCTTTGGCTTAGAAATGGAGATGAGCACCAACCCCAAGAGTTGGACATGACTAGACTTAGTGTCAGGGGAAATCTTTACCTTTATTATGGGAAGAATGTGATGCCACTGTGACATAGCTGCTGATTTTCACTTTTTACCAAAACAATGCACGAATAGTGCTTAAGAATGTAATACCAGTTTAAACTTAATTCAGATTCCAAAAGCAGTCGGGACAAGCTCAAGTGACACAATGAGAGAGATACTTACTGATAAACACCATTATAGACAAGAAACTGAGTAATCAGAGTAGCTACAAAAGCTATCGTGATTCCAAGGCCTAGGCCGCTTCTTGAACGATCAAATGTCCACCACAGGCCCAGTGACAAAGCTGCTAGTGTTAAAGAGAGCTGGACATTGTTTGCAAAATCCAATTTCTATTTTAGAAGCTAAGGAAAAATTGGTGATCTTAATGACTGAAAAGTTTTTCCCCACAAACTTTCTCAAATACAACCACAAAATTTATCATTTATTTAAGTACTTGCTTCTGAGATACTTCTCCTTACAACTATGATGCTTTCCACTATTCAAATATATGAGGGTGAGTCAAAATGTTTTGCCTCCTGTGTCATAAAACTGTTATGAATATATAACAGAAGTTGCTGCAGATCACAGCCTGAACTGTCCTCTACACAAAACCACCATTCAACATAGTCACCATCAATTTGTACACATTTGCTCCATCATTTAACCCAGGCATCAAAATCATTTTGGAAAAGTTCAGGATTATGCTTTGTGACCCTTAATTTTAAAGCTGTTTTAATGTCATTCAAGTCACTGAATCTGAAACCACGTAGGTTGTTTTTTTGGGGCCTCTGAAAGACAACCTACAAGGTTTCAGAATCAATGATGTTAAAACAGCTTTAAAATCATGGGTCACAAAGCAAAACCCTGATTTTTGCTTTGTGCACAAATTGATGGTGACTATGTTGAATGGTAGTTTTTAGTAGAGGACAGTTCAGGTTATGATCTGTAGCAACTTCTGTTGTTATATGTTCATTCATAACATTTTTATGACACAGAAGGCAAAACTTTTTGACCCACCCTCGCATAAAGGGTGTGTGCACACAATGTTCATTGTATAATTAGTCCAGACAATACAAGGAAAGTTAGTAGCTCTATGAGATGCTATAATAACATTCAAAGAAAAAGTCTGGCTTTGCATGATTTTCCAATTCTATGCAGACACTTCTGATCATTGATTTCAGTGAGGTTATTTCTAGCAGACCCTTTATCTTATGTTACCCCTAATATTTAATTAACTCCACCCTGAAAATTTACCTGATACTAGCAGATACCAACACAGACCACAAATAACAAAAGCTCCTCAGCAGTCTTCCAGGAATCAGAGTCAAACCCTTGTCCTGCTATAGGGGTTAAGGGTCTCCTTTCTGCTAACAGAAATAGCCTTACAGTTCATAGAAATAACCCACAAGTCACACACATTAAAGGGCATATTTTAAGGAGAAGCAAGTATAGAAACTAACATCTGAGAAATTGAGTCTTTTCAGCTTATGTAAGTGATATTTTAGTTAAAAGTTGATCACGTACTGCCTAAAAAAATCTAAAAGTTATCAAAATGAATTTCCCTTGTAACTACAGTACAGATATTTGCAAATTATTTAAAGGATACAGCACTTGCATGGTTAATCCCAACAAAGACTGCTATACATCGCATTACGCTGGCCCATTCTCGCTTGAATTTATGAGGTTCTCCAAGGTGACTGTCAATGCAAGGATAAAGCAGGCCAATAACAGCTGTAAAAAATAAAGAAAATGTATTCATAGTTATTCCATACCTCTACATATTCATCTCCACAACATCGAAGCTTGATTTATGTATGTAAAAACATTTGAGAAGTTTAATCGTCATGTATTATAGCGCAATTCGATCTGTTAGTTGGGATGCTACAGGACAATGGATATTTGCCACTTGTAATTCCAGGAAGGAGTGAAAGTTCCGTTACACAATTATCTTCCCTACTATCAAAAAACTAAGGACATTTTCCCACTAGCATTATAGAACAGAGGCTATTGTTGGTCAATCACTAGAGCTGCTCCTGCAAAATTCTGGGAAATGGAATTCAGGGCAGAGCCTTTGGAATTTTCTGCTAGAGAGGCCCTCTGCTTCCTTAAACTACATTTCCCAAAATTCAGCAGGAGCAGATCGGACGACTGGCCTCCCTTCTATAACACTGGTGGGAAAACGTTCTACATGCTTACCAACTTTCAAAAAGCACCCAAGTTTGAAGACTCTTAAAAACCTTAAAGCCATAAAGTTATGTCCTCATCTGATAATGACAGGAGAAGTCCATATGTAAAATATATGCTCTGAGATGGAATTATTACTGATTTTTAACATCCACTGTAGTTAATTATTACATTTTTCTAGTGACAGGTAAGTTATGGGCTTAACAAATAATCACTGAGCAGCAGGCATTTCAGAATGATCAACAAACTTTTTACCTATTTTGATAACATTTGTTCAGAGGGGCTTTCCCTCCCTGAGGCTGAGAGGCCAACTCTGAACAAATCTTGCCAAGAAAACCTTGCAATAAGTTTGACCGCAGAGTTGTCACTCAGTGAATTTCCATGACTCACCTGGGGTTCAAACCATGGTCTCCAAAGTCATAATCCGAGAACTATGCCCTGCTGACTTTGACTTGGTTCCAAATCCCATCCACACAAAGAGGTAATCTTTACACAGTTCTTATATCTGGTATGAAAAGTTTATAGACTAGCAATAGACAAGCTCTTTTTCTGTGTTAGCTTGCCAAAGCTATCTTCTTTCCCCATACAAAACATGATTGTATGGCTGATCAGCACAAGCTAGCTATAATACTTAATTCAGCCCAGGAATAACAACTATAGGCAAAGGGATTGGTACATCAGGCCGATGCTAGCACCAACTCTGTTTGGTACTGAAAAGAAATGTTTTCTAAGCTATATTTTAGGATGCCAGAAAACACACTCTGGGATCACATCATTTTCAAAATAGCTGATTTACTAAACTGAAGGAGAACCACAGTAGCTACATGACCTTGGAAATGACTTTGGGGGGTTAAAAATTCTGTATAACCACCCATTTACACAATGGCCTTAGTACGAACTTGCCATACTTTCTAACACCTAGACTGTCACTGCAAAATAGAAATAATATTCTTCACATCATCATCAGAGATAATTGGAATGAGATTATCTGCGCCTCCCTGGAGATTGCTGAATGCATCTTCCATCAGCCACAACCAACATAACAAATGTTGAGGGATCATGGGGGCTCCATTAACCAGCATCTGGAGCCATAACAAGTGAGTAGTCCTAATCAGCTTATTTAGCACTTTTTGCATTCCCTTCGAATTCTCTCATTTCTGAAGAGTTCCAGGTTTGAATGGTGCTACATCAGCTTGAATAGACCATGATATCCATTTTAATAGGAAAGCAATCTAAAACGTGTTCTAGAATAATGTGTTCTGTTGGCTTTTCCTAGTAGCTCTATTCAAAAACTTGGCAAACAAAAGTGTTTGGGTTCATAGTTTGCAAACAACTAAGATTTTCATCTATGTTGAGTTTAGTACTCTTTTTAGTTCACTCTTAGTTCAGGTATAATGCTTCCTATCTATTGTGTGCAAAAGGACTTCCTATTTTAAATTAGCATTCACAGGGTTTTGCACCGTTTGGGATTTTGAAGAACTCCTAGGTCTCTGCCGACTGCTGCAGCTGCTCTTATAATAGGCACCCAGCCAAGCTTCACTTCCCCTTCTCTGCTGTCAAAACATGTGACTTCCTTGTTTTTGATTCAAGTGTGTGGCATGTTCATGAAGCCAACCAATAAGAACAGGAACATGCGGCTCACCAGTTTGAAGAGACAGCCAATCAGGAAGGCAGAGTCTGGTGATGAGTCACCCCAGCCCCTGTGTTCAATCCTGACAGACAATAGCTAGAGGAAACTCTTCCTTGTTCTCAGGATCAGCCACTGTGCCAACTCACACAGCAGGACCGGTTAAGGAATGCGACAGGCTGCCCAGGTCCGTTTGCTGTCCCCCCCCCCCCAACCAATTTTGTTGTTCCTAGCAAAGGTCATGTGCCTGACTGTAAGTTTTAGAACTCTGCTCATGAATTAGCAGAGCTAACCAAGCTTTGTTATCTATTCTTACTATTCTGCAAATTTACTTACTACTGAGATGAGTGTACAAGGTGCCTAAATTCTGACTGGTAAAGCCATTCTTGAGAATGTTTAACAAAGGAATAAATGCTACTCAAGAACCTTTTCTGGGCAAAGATTTTGTGAGAAAAAAAAGAAAGAAAATGTGCATAAAGCTGGGCAATTAACCAAAACATAACTTGAAGTAACAAGCCCCTCCACGGCCTTCCCCAAGCAAATACAACCTGCCAGTCAACCACAGTTTATCTCAATCACTCACCTGCTGCTGTGCCACAGCAAGGGGGGACCCACCAAGCAGAGGAGAAGATGGTATCTATGACCTCCTCAGGGAACAGAGTCACATTTCTCTGGATCTGCAGCAGATTCAACACCAGTGCGAGAAAAGTGCCCACGGTAAAGAGCACCAGGCTCCGCTGCACCACATCTTTGCTCAAGTTCAAATTGCTGCTGCGGCTACTGCGACTCACAAGTGTTAGGGGAGAACTTGAGACAGATGTGCTCAACATTTCACCCACTTTGGCTGCCAGCCCTGTAGCAGTTCCACCTAAGGGGATTCTGTGCCTTCCTCTTGCAGTACAGGAACAGCTCCAGGTACGATCCTCCGCTCTGGGTGCAGGCTTCTCCATTAGATTTCTGTAATACACATCAAAATGTGGTTAGGGCTTTACAGCCAAATCAGGCTGCAGGCATGTTTTTCCTGTGCAGTCTCCCAGGCTTCACACTTTTCTAGGTAGAACAGAAAGCTATTTCACAAGAAAGAGTTAATATGAGACCAACTTAACATCATTTGCCAGATATGCCACAGATGTGGAAAAGTACAGAAGCGAAGACTGCATTATAACTTAGAAAATCATCAATACAAGTAAAATTTCAGCATTACTCCACAAGGTGACATTACATGAGGAACTATGCTTTTAGTCTCAACCTCCTTCTTCCACTGGCAATAATGGAATAACACTGTTCTATCTTACAGGGCTATTTTATCCATTAAAGACATTATGGATTTGAATGAGTCTAAGCACTGAAATAGTGATATTGTTTACTAAACAATGCTATATTATTACTACAATATGGAAGTATTTTGGACAGCCAGTGTAAACAAACATGAAGATCAGAAGTGGAGAGACCCATGTACAACTTTGCATTCAATCACAAAACTCACAGGTGGTCATGGCCCACACTCTTAAACCTGCCTTAAGAGACTTTGAAGGGCAAGATTTTTTGGTCTGATTCATGTTCTATACTTATGGAAGAGAAGGCAAGGCAGCTTCCATCATAATTAAAACAACATGTCTCGGTGTGCTGTGTACTAAATGCAGAATGATGTATACTATATTACCCCCTCTTATCCATACAAGTGCTCTGAAAAATAGCCCCCCATCCCTCGAAGTGTCCATGGCTCTCTCTTTAGAATCATAGAATCAAAGAGTTGGAAGAGACCTCATGGGTCATCCAGTCCAACCCCCTGCCAAGAAGCAGGAAAATTGCATTTAAATCACCCCTGACAGATGGCCATCCAGCCTGTGTTTAAAAGCTTCCAGAGAAGGAGCCTCCACCACACTCCGGGGCAGAGAGTTCCACTGCTCTGTCATCCAGTGCCATTCTATGGTTGCTTCTTTCTAAATATAGTCAAAATATAGGGTTCACTACTATCCATAGTTTTAGGTATCCATGAAGAGATCTTGCAAAGTAGCCAGGACTTTTGAAACTTCACACAAACAAAGGAGCTGGGAAATTCTCAAGTTGTGTGACATTCAGACTATTTCCACTGGTTTGAGCTTTTCAAGAAGGCCAGGAAAAACTTTAACTGATTAAGTTAGCAGAACTAGTGGCCTTGCTGTTTTTAAGAACATGTAAGGAGAGATAAGAATATGTACCTAGAACTTCACTTTTCTCTACCATGACAAAACTAAATGAGAAAACAAATTACATCAAGATACAAAGTCTACTGAGAAGACCAACATTATTGTAAATTTGTACATATTTGTTCAGACAGGAATAACTTGAGATATTTAGTCATAACTTCCAATTACACATTTTCCAAACATTGTTACTGCGCCGACCTACAAAATGCACATTTTTCCTGAAGTTTTGTTTCCTGCAAAGCTTTTTTTCCCCAACAAGCCTTTTCTTTGGACAGAAAAGCCTACCTACCCTGTCAAGAGGCACACCTACTCTTTTCAGAAAAACACAGGCATGTCATCTCCCACCACATACATGAAAGAAAACTTTTGGAAAGATCACTAAGATTCCTTCACATGAAGATATTACACAAGATTTACCCATAATTACTAAGAAGGTGTGTAGGTGTATGTGTTGACAAGATTGCAAGATTAAGATGTACAGGCTACAAGTGGCCTTCATTACTGGACTAACAGGCACAACACTGTGGTCTGGAAAGACCTTTGAAAAGTTGTATGTCTGTCACTATCTCTTCAATGTCGATTCCAACCTGCTGGTCCCCCTCCTCACATGTCCAAACTGCACTTCATTTTAGATAGAATGTCCACCTACTAGCCATTACCCCTTCATAAACATAGGATGCAGATATTTCTATCATTCAACATTGATGTCTATTCACTACTATAAGAATGCTGGGCCCAAAGGAAGCACAGCTTATACCAAGCCAAGATAATGATTCATTTTGACCAATATTGTCAAACAGCTGAGAACATATTCCTGAGTCTTTAGACAGGATTATTTCACTGCCTTACGTGGAGATGCCAGGGACTGAGAATGGGACTTCACACAAAGAAAACATGCCATCTATCTCTGAGCTACAGTCTATGTCTGCAATGTTATACTTGCTTATCTAAGACTAAACTAAAACAGCGGGATTTACTTCCAAATCCTTAGTCTAAAAACTGCCTAAGATTGGACTGTCCAAGTAAAAGTCATATTGCAAGATGGAACCGAGTATGAAAAGCTACCTTATACCAGATAAGACTATGTCCATTTGGCTTCATGTTGTCTAGTCCACTTAACACAAGCTCTCCAATATTTCATTCAGTAATCTTTTTTCCAGCCCTCATTACAGATGCTGGAGATTGAACCTGGGGCATCTTTTACTCCCAAAAGTGCCTCAATGGGTTGTCCTATTGCTGACTCTTACCTTTCATGCTATCAGAGCTTGATGCAACCCCAAACAACTCTCCCTTCTGAAAAGACCATTACTGGACACAGCCTATTATTTGAGAACACAGACATGCTGGACCACACTAACAACTACCATGTCAGACTACACAAAGTAGCCATTGAAGTACACAATTTCAACAGAAAGGAGGAAACCATAAAAATGAACCAAATCTGGCTTACCAGTATTAAAAAACTCTAAAATCAGGACAATCAATTAAAAGCAAAACTAAAAAAGGAGGGGAATTCCAGACAAGAATAAATCAGGGCCAGCTAACACCTGCCAACAAAGGATTTCCCCAGGCAGCATCCAGCTAGGCTTTGAAGTTGCAAGGCCATTAAGTGCTAATCAAGGTGCCCAATTGCAACATTCACACTTGTCTCAAGCAGTCAAGAGTTCTTTCACAGATATATAAACCTCACTTGCCTAGTTTCCAACAGACCCCTCAACCTCTGAAGATGCCTGCCATAGATGTGGGAAAAAAGGAGAATGCTTCTGGAACATGGCCATGCAGCCCAGAAAACTTACAGCAACCCATTACTGGGCTGCTTTTCTACTTCAGGGAGGAGAGCTATTTCAAGAGGAATATCTAACCATTCATGCAATATTTTTTTATCTAACATACAATTGTATTTTGGTTGGCTTTAAAATTAATTCTAAAATCTCTCCCTCATCACACCACCTTCAAGCAAGACAAATCTGGAGACGGATTACTTTCTGGAGGCAGGAGCTCCTGCCTGCACATCTTCTGGCGAAATAAGGAACGGGGATTAGGCTAATTTACCCACAAAAACTTTACCCTCGAGGTTACAATCATAAGACATGCATTGCTATTAACAGTATCACTAGAGTGAACTCTGACAGGCCTACTAGAATGGCATTTGCAAGATCTTTTGCTAAGGATGTTGCTTCTGGAATTAGGTGTGTGGGACACAAGTATATCTATTCCAATTAACCACATCACTTCAACATACAGATGCAGCTATCTACCAGTAACGTGGTTAATTGGCTTGTTGCAATTGATGGAGAATAGAAGGGAGCTGCTGGAGATTATTGACTCATCTAGTTGGGGTTCACTTCTGCTCTGAATCAAGCCAAGGGCCTCATTATTTGCAGGCACCTACAGTGGTGTGTGTGTGTGTACCAGGCATGGGCAAACTTGGGCCCTCCTTCAATATGTTTTGGACTTCAATTTCCACAATTTCTGACAGCCTCAGGCCCGTTCCTTTCCTTTGGACTTCAATTCCCACACCTCTCTCTTTCTCACTGTATGAGTCTTATGTGTGTGTATACACACACACACGGCTTGGGCAAACATGGGCCCTTCCAGGTGTTTTGGCCTTCAATTCCCACAATTCCTGACAGCCTCCTGCCCTTTCCTTTGGACTTCAATTCCCACAACACTCTCTTTCTCATTGTATCAGTCTATGCGACACACACACACACAAGGCATGGGCAAACATGGGCCCTCCTTCCAGGTGTTTTGGACTTCAATTCTCACAATCCTTCCAGGTGTTTTGGACCTCAAATCCCACAATTCCTGACAGCCTCTGGCCCGTTCCTTTCCTTTGGACTTCAATTCCCACAATTTTTTCTTTCTAATTGTATCGGCCTATGTGACATACACACACACCCCTGGCATAGGCAAACATGGGCCCTCCTTCCAGGTGTTTTGGACTTCAATTCCAACAATTTTTGACAGGCTCCTGCCCTTTCCTTTGGACTTCAATTCCCACAGTTTTCCCTTTCTCATTGCATGAATCTATGTGTGTGTGTGTGTATGTATATACACATATATACATACACACACACACATACATACACACACACACACGGACAAACATGGGCCCTCCTTCCAGGTGTTTTGGACTTCAATTCCCACAATTCCTGACAGCCTGTGGCCCGTTCCTTTCCTTTGGACTTCAATTCCCACAACTCTGTTTCTCATTGTATCAGTCTATGTGACACACACACACACATACACACCAGGCATGGGAAACATGGGCCCTCCTTCCAGGTGTTTTGGACTTCAATTCCCACAACTCTCTTTCTCATTGTATCAGTCTATGTGACACACACACACACACACACACCAGGCATGGGAAACATGGGTCCTCCTTCCAGGTGTTTTGGACTTCAATTCCCACAACTCTCTCTTTCTCATTGTATCAGTCTATGTGACATACACACACACACACAAGGCATGGGCAAACATGGGCCCTCCCTCCAGGTGTTTTGGACTTAAATTCCCAACAGCTTCCTACCCTTTCCTTTGGACTTCAATTCCCACAATTCTCACTCTCTCATTGTATCAGTCTATGTGACACACACACACACCAGGCATGGGCAAACATGGGCCCTCCTTCCAGGTGTTTTGGACTTCAATTCCCACAATTCCTGACAGTCTCAGGCCCTTTCCTTTCCTTTGGACTTCAATTCCCACAATTCTCTCTCATTGTATGAATCTATGTCTCTCTCTCTCTGTGTATGTGTGTGTATATATATTATGTATATATATATACACACACACACATACATGGCATGGACAAACACGGGCCCTCCTTCCAGGTGTTTTGGACTTCAATTCCCACCATTCCCGACAGCCTCCTGCCCTTTCCTTTGGACTTCAATTCCCACAACTCTCTCTTTCTCATTGTATCAGTCTATGTGACACACACACCAGGCATGGGCAAACATGGATCCTCCTTCCAGGTGTTTTGAACTTCAACTCCCATCATTCCTAACAGCCTCAGGCCCTTTCCTTTTCCCCCTCAGCCTTTTCCCCCTCCTGAGGCTGTTAGGAATGATGGGAGTTGAAGTCCAAAACACCTGGAAGGAGGGCCCATGTTTGCCCATGCCTGGTGTGTGTGTGTGTGTGTATATATATATATACACACACACACATAGATTATATATAATATATATATACCCACACACATAGATTCATACAATGGAAATGAGTCCCAGCAGGGCCCAGGCCTTTCTGCTTCCCCGCCCTCCTTCTCCCCCCGCCAGCCCCCTTACCTGCTCCTTCCTCAGGCGCCGTCCTTCTGCCCGCCAGCTGCCACGCGGAACCACTCAAATACCCCCCTTTTTTCCCCCCTTTCCTGCGCACGCGCCCTGGCGACTTTATAAGGCCGCACGCCGCCGAGCCACGTGACATTTCCTCCGCCGGCCAACCAGCGGAGCCGCTTCAGCATCCTGGCCCCGCCCCCCTTTGAGCGCGAGCCGAAGCTGACGACGACAACAACGGGGAGGGGAGGGGGAAGAGGGAAGGCGGCGAATGGACACGCTTGGCTTGGCTGAGATCCGCAAGCCAAAACAGTCCCTTTGCAAGTCTGGTGAGGCCGGCCAGCCAATGGGAGCAAGGCGGCCGATATGACGTCAGAGACACACCATCCTCCCTCCCTCCCTCAACTGACAGCTCGCGCGCTGCGATAGGAATCTGCGAGGGAGGGGAGGGGAGGGGAGTGAGGTGGCGTTTCTCGGAGGGGCGGGGCGCGCTCGCGTGACTCCGTGCGGCGCGTGATTGGCGCTCGGGCGTCCGAAACAGAGCGTTCCTTTTCTCAACCGCCGCGCGCTGGGAGAAGGGGAGGGGGGAGGGGGGCTCGAGGGTGAGGGGAGCGCGCATGCGCATGCGTCCACGGCCACCCTATGTAGGCCTTGCGAGCCTAAGAGACAATAATAATAATAACAGTATATTGTTAATATAATAATATATATTATATTGGTAATATAATAATAAATATTATATTGTTAATATAATGAATATTATAATTATATAAGAATACTAATACTAATAATAATATAATAATAATATATTAGTGTAATATTAATAATAGAAATATGATAATTGCTTTAATATCAATACAGCAGTATATAGTTAATATAATTATTAATAGTAATACAGCAATTGTTAATATAATGGGCAACAGTTGTACGTTGCTAATATTATATTAGCAAGCCCTATGAGGAGCGGCTTAAGGAGCTGGGCATGTTTAGCCTGAAAGCCCCTGGTGGCGCAGTGGGTTAAACCCCTGTGCCGGCAGGACTGAAGACCGACAGGTCACAGGTTCGAATCCGGGGAGAGGCGGATGAGCTCCCTCTATCAGCTCCAGCTCCTCATGCGGGGACATGAGAGAAGCCTCCCAATTGTACATTGCTAATATATTAGCAAGCCCTATGAGGAGCGGCTTAAGGAGCTGGGCATGTTTAGCCTGAAACATGCCCCCGGTGGCGCAGTGGGTTAAACCTGTGTGCCGGCAGGACTTAAGACTGACAGGTCACAGGTTCGAATCCGGGGAGAGGCGGATGAGCTCCCTCTATCAGCTCCAGCTCGTCATGCGGGGACATGAGAGAAGCCTCCCACAAGGATGATAAAAACATCAAATCATCCGGGCGTCCCCTGGGCAACGTCCTTGCAGACAGCCAGTTCTCTCACACCAGAAGCGACTTGCAGTTTCTCAAGTTGCTCCTGACACGACAAACAAACAGCCTGAAGAAGAGAAGGCTGAGTGGAGATATGATAGCCATGTATAAATATGAGAGGGGAAGTCAGGGGAGGAGGGAGCAAGCTTGTTTTCTGCTTCCCTGGAGACTAGGACGCGGAACAATGGCTTCAAACTACAAGAGAGGAGATTCCATCTGAACATGAGGAAGAACTTCCTGACTGTGAGAGCCGTTCAGTAGTGGAACTCTCTGCCCCGGAATGTGGTGGAGGCTCCTTCTTTGGAAGCTTTTAAACAGAGGCTGGATGGCCATCTGTCAAGGGTGATTTCAATGCAATATTCCTGTTTCTTGGCAGGGGGTTGGACTGGATGGCCCATGAGGTCTCTTCCAACTCTATGATTCTATGATTAGCATTAGTAGGTAAGGTTTTCCCGTGACATTAAGTCCAGTTGTGTCTGATTCTGGGTGTTGGTGTTCATCTCCTTTTCTAAGCGGAAGAGCCGGCGTTGTCCGTAGACAACTCCACAGTCATGTGGCCGGTATTACTGCATGGCGCGCCATTACCTTCCCGTCAAAGCAGTACCTGTTGATCTACTTAAATTTACATGTTTATTAACTGCTAGGTTGGCAGAAACTGGGGATAACAGCGGGAGCTCACACCACTCTCCGGATTCGAAGTTCAGCAGCTCAGTGTTTTAACCCACTGCAGCACCGGGGGCTCCTATACAAGCATAACTATATTAATACAATAATATATTGTTATTATAATAATATAATAATGCTAATCTGCAATAACATAATATATGATCTGCCAAGCTAGCAGTTCGAAAACATGCAAATGTGAGTTGATCAGTAGGTACCGCTCCGGTGGGAAGGTAACAGCGCTCCATGCAGTCATGCTGGCCACATGACCTTGGAGGCGTCTACGGACAATGCCGGCTTTTCGGCTTAGAAATGAAGATGAACACCAACCCCCACTTGCACATCGCCTGACTCAGCACATAGAAGATGGCTTTGAAAGACAGCAGCTGTCTTCATAGACCTGTCAGCGGCTTATGATATTGTAAACCACTGCCTCCTCCTGAGAAAAATGTATAATATCACAAAGGACTACCACCTCACCCGCCTCATAGGAAACCTGCTACAAAACAGGAGCTTTTTTGTTGAGTTCCAGGGCCAGAGAAGCAGATGGCGGAAACAGAAGAACGGCCTGCCTCAGGGGAGCGTGCTTGCTCCATCCATGTTAAACATCTACACAAATGACCAGCCACTGCCAGAAGGGACAGAGAGTTTCATCTATGCTGATGATCGTGCCATTACTGCTCAAGCAGGGAGCTTTGAGATGGTAGAACAGAAGCTCTCCGAAGCTCTAGGTGCTCTTACTGCCTACTACAGGGAAAACCAGCTGATCCCTAACCCATCTAAAACACAGACATGTGCCTTTCATCTCAAGAACAGAGAAGCATCCCGAGCTCTGAAGATCACCTGGGAAGGAATCCCACTGGAGCATTGCAGCGCACCCAAATACCTGGGAGTCACTCTGGACCGTTCTCTGACCTACAAGAAGCACTGCCTGAACATCAAACAAAAAGTGGGTGCTAGAAACAACATCATACGAAAGCTGACTGGCACAACCTGGGGATCACAACCAGACACAGTGAAGACATCTGCCCTTGCGCTATGCTACTCTGCTGCTGAGTATGCATGCCCAGTGCGGAACACATCTCACCACACTAAAACAGTAGATGTGGCTCTTAATGAGACATGCCGCATTATCACAGGGTGTCTGCGCCCTACACCAATGGAGAAATTACACTGCTTAGCCGGTATTGCACCACCTGACATCCGCCGGGAAGTAGCAGCCAATAGTGAAAGGACCAAGGCAGAGACATCTCCAGCTCATCCCTTGTTTGGGTATCAGCCGGCACGTCAACGACTTAAATCAATAAATAGTTTTCTAAGATCTACAGAGACACTCGCTGGAACACCTCAGCAAGCGAGAGTCCAAAAGTGGCAGGCTCAAACCCAGCACCTCAATCCGTGGGTGATACCAGATGAGAGACTCCCCCCTGGGCACACAGAAAACTGGGTGACTTGGAAGGCGCTGAACAGACTGCGCTCTGGCACCACGAGATGCAGAGCCAATCTTAAGAAATGGGGCTACAAAGTTGAATCCACGACATGCGAGTGCAGAGAAGAGTAGACGACAGGCCACCTGCTGCAATGCAACCTGAGCCCTGCCACATGCACGATGGAGGACCTTCTTGCGGCAACACCAGAGGCACTCCAAGTGGCCAGATACTGGTCAAAGGACATTTAATCAGCTACCAAGTTTGCAAAAATTGTGCTTTTTTTGTTTGTTTGTTTGTTTTGTCCTGTTAGAAATGTAATACAATGTTCTGGTTGCAGATGACACGATAAATAAATAAATTATTATTATTATATAAGCATTAGTAGGTAAGGTTTTCCCCTGACATTAAGTCCAGTTGTGTCTGATTCTGGGTGTTGGTGTTCATCTCCTTTTCTAAGCGGAAGAGCCGGCGTTGTCCGTAGACACCTCCACGGTCATGTGGCCAGCATGACTGCATGGAGCACTGTTACCTTCCCGCCAAAGCGGTACCTGTTGATCTACTCAATAATAATAATAATAATAATACTTTATTTGTACCCCACTACCATCTCCCCAAGGGACTCGGTGGGGCTTACATGAAGCCGAGCCCACAAAACAACAATAAACTATAACACTAATAGTACAAAAACAATACATAAACTCATAAGCAAAATAAGCAATAAACATTAACAATAACACGACGCATTTAAAAACCTATGGCTGGGCCAAATGTAATAATTAAAATTTAAAAAATAATGCTGGACATGAACAAGGTGACATGTAACTGGATAAAATTTTTGGAGAGGGAAGAAATGTGCAGACAATCTTAAATCATTATTAAAGTGTGTTTAAGGACATATTGCTGGGAGTTTCCTTATTCTGGGAAGGCACACTAAAACAGCCACGTTTTAAGACTGCCAGAGTTGGGGCTTGCCTAATGTCCCTGGGGAGTGAGTTCCAGAGTCGGGCAACCACCGAGAAGGCTCTCTCCCTCATCCCCACCAATCGTGCTTGCGATGGTGGTGGGAGCATGAGCACGGCCTCTCCAGATGATCGCAGAGATCGTGTGGGTTTGTACACAGAGATGTGGTCACGCAGGTAGGCGGGTCCCAAACCGTTTAGGGCTTTATAGGTAAGCACCTGCAGATTGAATTGGGACTGGTTAATGAACGGCAGCCAATGGAGCTCCTTGAACAGGAGGGTTGACTGCTCCCTGTAAGGAGCTCCAGTTAACAACCTGGCCGCCGCTTGTTGAACCAGTTGGAATTTCCGGGCCGTTTTCAAGGGTAGCCCCACGTAGAGTGCATTACAGTAGTCCAATCTGGAAGTGACTAAGGCATGGACCACCCTGGTCAGATCCGCCTTCACGAGGTATGGTCGCAGTTGGTGCACGAATCTTAATTGTGCAAAGGCTCTCCCAGCCACTGCCGACGCCTGAGCTTCAAGCGTCAGTGATGAGTCCAGGAGGACACCCAAACTGCGGACCTGTGACTTCAGGGGGAGTGTAACCCTGTCCAACACAGGTTCCCACCCTATACCCTGATCTGGTTAGCGATCTACCAAGAGGACC